GTAGCTCAAGAAAATTACAACAACAACATTTCAATACTTTTTAATCAAATTGCTAAAAATGAACACAACATTGACCAGTTAAAATACCATCACTATGAACTAAGCAATCATTTTCAGAAGTCTCAAGCTAATAACAGCATTTTATTTGAAAACCAAAAGCGAATAAATGACGTTATTTATTCAAACATAGGACAACTTAAGATTCAGCAGAATGCTGACAGAAATTTTGTTAAACAACTAGCATTTTCTCAAGAAATTATTAACAATCAACTTCATGATCAGATTGGTGGCACTCAAAATCAGTTAAACGAACTTGGAAACAATTTTAATGTATTTGCAAATGCCCAGCTAGGATTTAATTATGCAATTTCTGGCCAAATTGATTCTTTACATAATCATGTATCTCATCTTGACAATAGAATGCATGCAGTAGAAAACAATTCCTTAACAAAGCTAGGAAATGTTGTTGATGATGTTTTTCGATTTGGAAAAAAAATTTTGTTTTCAAAACAAAAAAACTTAGCTATCACCAAACCTACTTTGACATTACCAAAAGTTTTACCGTCATTTCAACTACTTCCAAACCGCCAACTCAATAAAAAACCATTATGCACAAAAAATTTCAGCAAAAATTAGTAGTCTAATGAGTTTTACAAATTTACATTTAATCAGTAATCATGTATTTATTTTAAAATTAATACAATGTTTTTGTATTTTTTTGAGCTCAAATAAATTGTTTTAAACTTTTAGTTTAGAGTTTTTTTATTAGTTAACAATAAAACAAAGTTTTGTATTTTAAAAATGTTTGTAAAATTTATTTTTTTTGTTTAAAATAAATTAATATAGTTTTAAAATTGTACATTTTAGTTTTTAAATTAATCATTAAAAACTATTTTGTTAAAATTTTGTTTTAATTGATTTGGCGAACTGACTGATACTTGGTATTTTTATTATCGCAAATTTAGTCCCTCCTTGCCCAAAGTAGATGTTCACTATTAAGATGACTCATTTTAGTTTTTCCTATTGCAACCTTTCTGATGCTCTTAGCATTTTGTTTGTTTCTCGCTATATATTTGATGAACTAAAATTAAGTTTGCCATTTATTTTAGTAATAAAACAAAATTAAAAATGAATAACTTAAAACAATTTTTTGTGAATTTAATAGATTCTTTGACAAATGACAATGGTCACCAATCTGAATTAAACCAAATGGAACAAAATTCAACACAGTTTTCAAACTCTTTGTTTTCAAATTCGACTGAGTATGAAAACTCAATTTTTGAAACAAAGTTTAATTTTTTTGAAAAAAATTTTGGGAAAAATCTTAACATTTTGTTACTTGGTAAAAATAATGTAGCAAAACTAATTTTTAATTTTTAAACAATTTTCTAAACAGTGAACTTTAATCAAATTTTTTATTTATTTTTACATTTTTAAGGGGAAAGTGGAGCTGGAAAATCAACAAGCATTAATGCTATTGCAAATTATATGAAGTACACTAGCATTGATGAAGCAGCTAGACAGAATTTTATTGATCTTATTCCAAGCAAGTTTACCCTTGGAGATGATTCTGACAATATGATTACTATTAGTTCAGGCGGAATTGACGCTAAAGCAATTGACAATGAACGAATGGAAAGTGGAAAATCAAGCACTAAAGAACCGAAATCGTATCTTTTTAAACAAAACAACACCACAGTTCGTTTTATTGACACACCAGGTTTGTTAAAAACAATAAATATTTTATTCATTGTTTGTTGTAAAAACTATTAGCAATTTTAACTTACAAATTACTAGGTATTGGTGATACCGAAGGTGTTGATGCTGATAAAGAAAATTTTGAAAAAGTTTTCAACTATCTTCACATGTTTAAAGAGCTACATGGAATTATTATTTTTATTAAAACAACTGAAACACGTTTAACAGATTTTTTTAAGTATGAAGTTATGTAAAATAATTAAACAAAAAATAACTTTATTTTTGTTTTATAGATACTGCATCAGCGAATTGTTTACGCAACTTCATAAAAGTGCATGTAAAAACATTATTTTGTGTTTTACTTTTAGTCGAAGTTCTCACTTTCAAGCAGGAGATGCTTTTTTCATTCTTAAAGATTTTGTTAAAAATGAACTTAAAATTTCAGATTTGGTTTTAAAGTCTAAAGTTAATTGTTTTTTTATTGATAATGAAGCATACCGTTTTTTACTTGCAAAAAAGTGCAACTACATTTTTCCTCCTGATCAAATTAATGACTATCGAAGTAGCTGGAATAACTCTGTAGAGCAAACCAATTTAATGTTAAACGTTATTGCTAATTTGTCTTCGCATAATTTAGAAGAAACAATTTCACTTAATAATAGTCGAAAGTTTATTTATCAAATGGCTGAACCAATGGTGGATTTAAGTCTTAATCTTGAAATCAACATAAAACACATTCAAAATCAAGAAAACGAGTTACTTGATGTTAATAAAGACAAACTTGAGTTGGCGCGCAGTTTAAATATACTCATTGATGATTTAATCATGGATAAATTACCCTATCCTACAACCGTTTGCACAGCCAACAAATGCACAACTATAATTGTCAAAGAAAATGGAAATCAAGTTACGCACTACGGAACTAGGTGTCATGAGAACTGCCAGTTAACAGGAGTGGCAAATAATGTAACAGGTAAAACAGCAAGTTTTTTATATTAATAAATTTTAAAACTTTAATTTATTTAATAATTAGGTGATCGTATATTAGAAAACTGCTGGGCAATGGCTGGTACTGGAAAATGCGCTAAAAAGTGTGGATGCCCGTTTAACTTTCATCGCCACATATATTATGTCACTAAAATTGTTAAAAAAAATATAATTGATAAAAACCAGAAGCTTAAAATTGATAATAAAGAAAAAGCTATTGAAGCAATTGAAAAAACAATTGAGCAAACAAAAAAAGTCATAATAGAAATGAAACAAGAAATTGAAACTATTCAAAAAATTGGAGTTAAGTTTGCCTATCTTCTTTTAAAACATTCAAATACAGTGAGTGGTTTAAAAGTAAACTTTTTATTAAACTTATTTATTAAATTTTACTTTTTATTTGTTTTTAGGCTTACAATAAGTTTTTAGAACCCTATTTAAAACTGCTTATTCGAGAAGAAGAAAAAAAGATTGGCAACAAACCAAGTTATTCAACTGATAAACTAAAATCTCTTGAAAAAATGTTAAAAACGCATCAATCTCAAGTTTCTTTTCTTGTTAAAGCAATAAAATCAAACACCGCTGCTGATGTAACCATAAAAGAAATTGGAATTATGCAAAAACAACTTTTTGGTTTGAAACACACTGGATTAAAGTTCAAAACTATTTTTGACCTTTCTAACAAAAATACAGTTTCAAAAAGTAGCTTTTTTGATGTTCCAGTAAATTTATAAACTTAAAAAATAAAAAACAATTAACATACTTATTTTGTAACTAAAATAATAATAATTTTAAACTATTTTTCTTTACTTTAAAGTTAATTTTTAAAATTATTGTTTTTGCTATTTACTACAACTAATAAATAAAATACAATATTTTTTATCTAAAAAACAAAATTTGTTGACAAAACTTTTTTTATTTGTTTAAAAATTTATAAACTAAATTTTAACATTTTTTGTTTTTATCAATTTAATAAAATGTACTATTTTATTATTTTACTTGTAAATTTACTATATTAAAAAAAATTATCTAATTTCATTAAAAAATGATGTTTATTTACTTAAAAGTTTGCCAAAATTATTAAGAAACATAAAAAAAGTTTTTTCTGGTAATTTTAATATTTCAATACAATTTCATTTGTTTTTTGTTAAACAAGTACTCTTGCATTTTGATTAAATCATTTTCTTGATAAGTTGATGATTAATTAATAAAACAATTTTTTTATAAACGAGCTATAGTTGTTCAGTTTTGATAAAAAAATGAGTCATTAGTACTTTTTTGTTGATAACTTGATAATTTCTAAATGCAACAGTGTGTGTTAAAATGAATCATTTAATTTACTGCAAAAAACAATTTTCTATAAACAACAATTATTATCATTTTAACTTTTGCATTGCTGGTAAAAAATCATTATTTTTTGTGTAACATTACTGGTAACTAATAAAAAAATGTTTGTAAAATTATATAATTAACTGTTTCTTGTTCATTTTGCAGTCACAAACTTAAATTACAACGTCTCATCAATAAAATGAATCAAAATAAAAATTGGTTGCAAAATAAAAATTGTAGTTGTAATAGGGGTTGTCCGCTTCACTGTCCAGCTCAATCTAACAATAATGATGGTCAATTAACAACATCTGGTTCTGTTAATTTAAATTATGATGGATACAATCAAAATAGTTTGTCAACTAAAAGTTTAAAGAGTAATCCTTTCAATCAGTTTAACTTAAACTGTAATAAAAATGAGCAAAATCATCCGCAGCATTTAAAAAGTGTTTCCAATTTGCCAACAAACAATGACTTTGAAATCAATGAGCAGCATGAAAACTACACCAGCAAACCTCACTTTGTGGAAAAAACAAAACTTTGTGTGCCAAAAACCGCTCAATCATATAAAATAATTCGTAATAAACCAATTGCTAACATATCATCAGCTAGCAATCCAATTTATTCACAATCTTTTGGCATTACCAATAACAACTCTTTAACTAACTCATCAAAACAAGACAAAACTTTAACATTAACAAATGACAAATCAAGTGTTTTTTCCAAGTGGACATCTGGTTGGTTTTCAACAAAAAACGAAGAAAAAATAAAAAAGCAACATTTGCCTGAATACAATGTTCTTCTCCTTGGAGGTACTGGCACTGGAAAATCAACCACAATTAACGCATATGCTAATTATGTAAAGTTTGCTTCTATTGGAGAGGCACAAAAACAGAAAAACTTTGTAGAATTGATTTCTTCCTTTTTTAAACTTTCCCATCCTGACACAGATGAAGAATTTTGTATAAAATCAGGTTTTGATTCTAATGAATTTGACACTGGTAACAGCCAATCACGAACGAAAATGCCAATGGCTTATAAATTTATGTTCAAAGACAAGGTGATCCGTTTAATTGATACTCCTGGCATTGGAGATACAAATGGATTAATGGCAGACAGAATAAATTTTGAAAACATTCTCAAGTACCTTAAAAACTACAACACGTTGCATGGCATTATTATTCTAATCAAAGCTAATGAAACGCGAGACTTAACCGTTTTTCGCTATTGCATTACTGAGCTTTTTAAACGCTTGCATCGTAGTGCAAGTGAAAATGTTTTTTTCTGTTTCACTTTTAGTCGAACCACCTTTTATAAGCCTGGAGATGGTTTGCAAATCATGAACAATCTGTTAAAAGAAGAGTTTCCTAATGCTCAGTTGGCTTTGAAATCAAAAGTTAATTGTTTTTTCATTGACAATGAAGCTTACCGCTACCTAGTTGCCAAAAAAGAAGGTTATCCATTTAAAAATTATCAACTAAAAACATTTACCGAAGCTTGGAACATATCGTCAGCTCAAACTAATGATATGTTGCAGCGCATTATTGAGACAACACCGCACAATTTGAAAACTACTTTTTGGTTAAACATGGCACAAAATTTTATTATTAAACTTGCCGATCCAATTGTGCAGTTGCAACGAACTATTTTTGCTAATATTAACACAATTAAACACCAAAAAGAATGTATCGAAAGTGGAAATTCAACAATTGATTTTTTAATTAAAACAATTAATATGAAAGTGATTGAACAAGAATTTGTTAATTTGGAAAAACCTATGACAGTTTGCGCTTCAAAAAACTGTCCTAAAAGTAAAAATTTAGAACGAAAACAAAAAGTTAAGAATTTCACTTTGTGTTGCAAAGACTGTCATGTACAGTATGTTAATGAAAAAGAAAAAGGTAATTCATTTTTTAAAAAATATAAATTTAATGTTAAAACTAAAACTAAATTTTTAAATTTTGTAGGAGCAAAACTACTAAAAGATTGCATTATTTTTAAAAATAATGATAATAAATTTTTGAAAAACTGCAATAAGTGTGGTTGTAGTTTTAAAGAGCACATGCAGCTTCACCGAGTGCAAATGGCAGTAGAAAAAGAAGTCGTGAATCCGGCAAAGCTCAAAGAACTTAATGAATTGTTAAAATCTAAAGAAAAAGACGACAATCTTTCACAAAGGATTATTGATGTGCTTCAAGCTAATATCAAAGAACGAGAAGAAGAGATGCAAACAATTCAATGGGTGGCCTCTCAATTTGGTTATTTGCTGAACAAACATTCTAATTCGGTATATATTTTTGTAAACATATTTTTTAAATTGTTTTTGGTAAGCTAATGTTAAATTATTTGCAGTCTGTAACTCAGTTTATTGAGCCTTACCTTAAATTTGTCATTGAGGAAGAGCAAGTAAAAATGCAATCAATTGAAAATTACCCAGATGATGTTTTTAAAATGCTAAAAAATGTAGAAAATGTTCAGCGTGAATACTCAGAGTATATTGAAAATTTGCCCGAAGAAAATAAACAGTTTCTGCAACTAGAAAACATTGAAACAATTGCTGACACTTTACGTCATTTGAAGTTTTCTGGACATCAATTTGGAATGCTAATAGATAAAATTTTAATTACTAATGAGCAAGAAGTTTTGAAAAACCATTTTGAAAGAGTTGGTGTAGACATGTCGTAAAGTAATTTTTAAAAACAAGCAGCCATACTTGGAAGGCCACCAATTAACCAGACTAATCTTAGTTTAGTAAAAACAAAATAATCAATAATTGCGTAGTAATATTTTTATTTGTCTTTATTCTTTTATACTTATGCTGTCACATGTTTTGTTGTTTCACTTCAATAAAGGCTTTGGCCACAAAAATCAACTTTTTTCTTGTTGTTGTTCAAATCATCAACTTGGCTAATTATAAGGTTAAACTTATCAAATTAAACCATTTAATGATAAATGGCAAAATAAAAATGTTAAAGCAGATTTGACGACAATCAGGATAAGGGGGGTAGAACAATATAAAACAAAAGATTATCAAAATTGTGCTAACGTGGTGTAAAATTGGTGTAAAACTTAATGAGTGAGGGAGAGAAAGATGGAGTAGATGAAACAGGAAAAGCATCTTCCTGTTGACTAAAAACTCTTGACAGTGTTAAAAACCAAAGAAGCAGAAGAGGCGTTAGAAACGGCGGCAGCATTGACCGGCACGACCATCTTCGTTGAGCAAAAGTACGTGCTCATTACCTGCAAATCAAAAAAAAGTGTCAACATTGCCTCAAAAAAAAGACTAATCAACAGTGCTCACCTGAGGCGCTTTGCCAATGCTGGCGTGTTGATTGGGCGGCCCAAAGCCGATGCTCTCATCGGCGAGACCGACCAGACTGAGAATGTCGGCGACCAGGTTGCCCTCCTCTTCGTTGATGGTGCCGTTGATGTTGGCGAGTCGCTTCGCCGCAAACTGCTGCCAGCGGAGGCGCAGCTCAAAGCAGCGGGCGGCGTCGGGGCCGGTGATGACCAACTGCTGATCAGTGCAAGCTCCGCCAGCAGTACTGAAGAGCATGAAACTTTCGCTGGCACCACCACCACCACCACCACCTCCTCCTGCTGGCACCAGCTGGACCGTGCCCGGCTTGGCCTCATTCCCAAAGATGGCCACCGTCAGCGGGCTGACCAGTGTGCAGTGTTCAATGTAGGCGGTGCTGCCGCAGCGCACCTTCCGATCGTAGAGAATGAGGTTGTCCGTCAGGTGAGAAAAGGTGCTGCTGCCGCTGCTGATTGAAGTTTCAGCGCCACGGTTGATGTTCTTGCTGCTGTTGGCAGCTGCAGCTGCTGCAGCTCGACCGCTGTTGCTCATTTTGTTGAGGTAGTACGCCAGGACAGAGTTTGGGTGGAGGAAGGTGCTGGTGGTGGTGACTGACTTGCCGCCTGCTACAAATAAATCCGCCCCATCGCTAGGGGTCGCGAGCAAACCGTCACCAAAAGAAGAGCTCTCCTCCTTCAGCTTTGCAAGCTGGCTCAGCGAGCTGCCGGCAGTGATGGCCGCCTTCACCAGGCAGAAGTTGTTCGAGTTGGCGTTCAGCGAGCGAATATTCAGCGGCCCCTTGCCCTTCACGAAGCCACAGGCGCGCAGCTGGCCGAGAATCTTCGTCCGCAGCGAGTAGATCAGCTCAAAGGAGGAGAAGAGTATGGGCAGGCCGCCGCCGCCACCGGTGCTGCTGCTGCCGTTGTTCTCATTCTCCGCCGAGGTACTTCGCTCCACCGTCTCGGGATTGGCCCGTGTCTGCTCCTGCCACTTCTGAAAGGCGTACACCAGCGTCAGGTGGTCGCTGAAGCTGCCGTGCGAGAGCTTCTTCAGCTGCTTCAGCTCGCGGCGGCGCTGCTCAAAGCTGCCTTCGGTTAGTTCGACTAGTGAAAAAAGACAATTAGTGGTTGATAGGGGGTTTGAAGAATGGAAAACAGCACTTACAGCACTGGGGCGACGATAGGGCGCAGACGATGGTGAGAATGGGATCAAGACAGCGAAGCAGCACCGAGTAGACGATCATCTTGGCGTACTGCGGCTCAATGGAGAGGTTAATTAGAATGCGACCTAGGTCGGTGAAGTGCTCCTCCTCGTTGAGGATGTTTAGCTCCTGAAAAGAGAGAAGTTTAAACAAAAGTAAAACAAGCACCCACTTTGAGCACCTTTCAGCTTACCTTGAGATACTGCACCGTACGGTCAACAATGGGCAGCGGCGGGTGGCTGACCATCTTCTGGAAGAGTGAGCGAATGCTCTGCTTCTGATTGCCATTTCGAAGGCTCAAGCTCTCCAGCGCAAAGATGCACTGGTAGATGCAGTCACCTTCATTAGTGGCCGCGGCCGACGACGACGACGACGATGATGCCGATCGAGTAGAACCGCCACTGCCATTTTCTTCTAGGCCACCGGACTGGCCAATCTCTCCCTTCCAAAAGAGATTGTAAAAGTAGACTTTGGGGCTGCTGTGATCAAAGAGCGCGTTGTACTGTGCACACTCGGTGGTGGTGGTAGTGGTGCTGCTGCTGCTGCTGTTTTGTGGTCCACCATTTCCCCCGCCGGTGGCCAGTGAGGCGCCATTTCCCAGCAGACGATAGCACCCACCAGGGGCACAGTGCACCGACTGGACCTTCTTGAGGAGGACGCCCGCGTTGAGCACGTAGCGAATGTCGGCGAGAAGGAGCGAATCGAGCGTCAACGTCGAGAGGATGATGCGCACCTGAGAGCGCTGCTCGGAGGCGAGGAAGCCGAGCGCAATCTCCAGCTCATTGTTGGGCAGGTGCGGATACAGACAGAAGACGGTGAACGGGTGCTCGGCAGTGGTGGACAGTTCGCCGATGAGCAGCTTGCGCAGTCGGCTGATGCTGCTGTACGAGGGCAGGAGGATGAGGATGGCGCCCAGGGGGGCGCCCGCCGGCGTGGAGCCCTTGATCTGGCGGATCATGCCGCCGAGCAGGTGCAACACCAGCTGGTAGTTCACCTGATAGGACTGCCGCTGAGGAGGAGGAAGGTGAGGAGGAGGAGGGGGGCAGTTCGGTTGAGCACCGTTGAAGTGATGATGATGAGGATGGCTTGATGATGGACGAGCCACTGCCAGACCACTTGAAGGAAAAGAGGAGCCAGAACTAGAGCCTCTCTTGTCAGCCACCACCTTCACCTCCACCGGTGGCCACTGAGAGATGGCGGCAAATCGGCCGGCGTAGTACTGCTCCAGGTGCAGGTCAAAGGCCTCGCTGGTGGCGTAGCAGTGGGCGTAGAGCAGCTGAAAGACGTCCTCTCGGCGGCGGTTGATGGCCCACTCCATCGGCTCCAGGCCACCGCCACCACTGCCTCCTGGATAATGGTCCCAGGAGGCGAGGCGAGCGTCGGCGCCAATGGCCAGCACCCGGGCCACCTCCTGCAGGCGGCCGTGAAGGACTGTGAGAATGAGCGGCGTGATGCCGCCCATCGCCCGGCACTGGTAGTTGATCAGCACGGGAAAGGCGCTGATGAAGTCCAGCATGAACTTGATGTCAATCTTGCCGGCGTGGATGGCGCCCATCAGGCGTTCCATCTCCTCATTTGGTTCTAGAATAGGGGGTAATAATAAACGAGAATGATGAAACTCAGATCAGCAGAATCAGTCGGCCACTTTTCCCAGCTCGAGCTTACCGTCAGCGCTCTTCTCCAGCTTCTTTCCCCTCTCCAGCTGCTGCCTCACCAGCGCGGCAGTGTTTCGAAAGTTGGCCATGTCATCGAGGTAGAGGCTGGAAATTTGCACTGTGGTGCTCTGCTGCTGCTGCTTTCCCCCAAAGAAGGCCGCCGACTGAAAGTCAATCAGATTGACCTTGATCGACATCGGCCCCTCGAGATCATCATCACCATCGCCGTGGTGGTAGTACTGCTGCAGAGATCGGGCATGGTCGGCGTCGGTGGCGAAGACCAGCAGGCGCATGTGGCGCATCTGACGGGCAAAGTTCTCCTTCAGGTAGAGGAGAAAGAGGCTGAAGAGGTGCTGCTGCTGCTGGTGGCCGCCGTCAATGTCCACGATGAGGTGGGTCACCAGGGAGGTGTTGATGTCGCGGTTCAGGGCGCAGATGAAGGTGGCCAGCTCGAAGAACATGATGTTGTTGCGAGGAGAGGTTCTGGAGGGGAGAAAACAGAAGGGATTAGTTTATGTTGTTTAGGAGGTTTTCTTAGGGACCCACTTGTTCTCCAGCGTTATCTGGTAGCCGCTGCAGTCCCAGTGGTAGTCCTCGCAGAGGCCCTTCA